TATAAGGCCGTTTTTATCACATTTAAATTTGCCAGATTGGTTATGTTGCCTTTGAGAGCGCATGGTAGCCCAGGAATGTGAATTACCCCCATGATAGTATGCCATTTGCAAAAGAAGGCAACCCAAGCTATTTCAAATGTTCAGTCTTTTTCAGTAGCCACTTAGTCACAAACATTGTCCAAAGTTAACGTTTATAATGTTTTGTTTTTTTTTGCATTTTTAACACACAAACAAATATAAATGCTAACTTTGGCCAGTGATTGTGACTAGCTGGCTACTAAACAAGACTGGACATAGTCCATATTGAATACCCTGGGTTGTCTACTTTTCATAAATATATGGTTTGATGGGGGTAAATTACATTGGCCAGCTTCACAAATTTCCTAAATAGGACATGGGTGTATGATGGCCAGCTGTGAAATTTTCAAGTTGGAAAACTGGAATGTGCACCCTTAAAATAAGGTCTTTTAGCCCCCAGAGAACCCAACACACCTATACATGGGTGATAGCACTGTACTCAGGATATGTTGTTGAATACAAATTGTGGTGTTCTTTGGCAGTAACCCTTAAAGTTCTCAGTACATGTATTCTTAAATTGCTATGTGTGTCAATAAAATCACCAATTATATATATTTTTTTTTAAATTGGGCATAGATTGGTGGTAAAATGGTTGCATGAAAAGAGTCAAAATAGCCCAAGTTTAATACCTTAGGTTGTCTTCTTTTAAAAAATATATACATGTGAAGGGTTATTCAGGGATTCCTGACAGATATCAGTGTTACAATGTAACTTGTGTTCATTTTGAAAAAAAAAAATGGTTTGGAAATAGCAAAGTGCTACTTGTACTTATAGCCCTATAACTTTCCCAAAAAAAAACTAAGTACATGTTAACATTGGGTATTTCTAAACCCAAGAAAAAAATTTAAAACTATTTAGCACAGGTGTTTTTTGGTGGTTGTAGATGCGTAATAGATTTTGGGGGTCAAATTTAGAAAAAGTGTGTTTTTTACATTTTTTATCATATTTTATAATTATTTTTATAGTAAATTATAAGATATGATGAAAATAATGGTATATTTAGAAACACCATTTAATGGAGAGAAAAGCGGTATATAATATGTGTGGGTACAGTAAATGAGTAAGAGGAAAATTACAGCTAAACACAAACAGAAATGTAAAAACAGCCCCAAACTGTAAGAAAATTCAAAAGCGGTCTGGTCACTAAGGGGTTAAATTCCTAAAAATTAAGATGTTTAATTTAATCTTTAATTAATATCATTAGAGTAATGAAAAATAAAGTGGGCAATATTTGGTGTGAGTGGCAAATTAATTTAGGGAACAGGCCCAAATGAGCCATTTCCAAATTAAAAGGATTATAATTATTGGAGTTTATGTTTTATTATCAATATAGCTTGACTGCCTAGCGGGCAGGAAACGCATCCGCCCGGTAAAGGGCTGGGAACCGCCTAGAGAAAGGCTGGGAGTATTGTCCGCCCGGTGAAGGGCTGGGAACCGCCTAGAGAAAGGCTGGGAATATTGTCCGGATGTCCCTCATGATTGCTTTGAACAGATGAAAATGGAAACAACCCATCTCCCAACAGTGCACGAGGCTGCTCTACCTGACCCTGACTACACTCTGTTTGTGGGTGGTTCTAGATTCGCAGATACGCAGGGACAATTACATACCGGATATGCAGTCACCACAGAGGATCAAATACTCCAAGCATCTACACTCCCATCATCTAAGTCAGCACAAGAAGCCTTACGGTGGCATGCAAGATGTCTGAAGGGAAGCGTGTTAATATTTACACAGACTCAAGGTTTGCCCTGGGCGTGGCACACGACTTTGGCTTAATCTGGAAAACCAGACACTGGAAAAACAGGTACTCCTGTGAAACATGGCGCAGCTATCAACAAATTGATGGATGCCTTACTACTTCCTGAAGAGGTGGCCATACTGAAGGTAAAGGCCCACTGGAGACTAAATTCAGAAGAAGCACATGGCAACCATTTAACCGACCAGGCCGCTAAGGATGCGGCACGCCAGTGTCGGGAAGTGGACAGAAGAGTGTCCATCGAAAAGACTCCTATTTACACTATGCAAACCCTACCCACTGATCTCAAGCTCCTAAGAGAACAACAGGCCGCTGCCATTCCACAAGAAAAGCAAAGCTGGAAAGACAAAGGAGCAACCCTCCAGAATGACATATACACAATTAATCTCAAATTCTGCCTACTCAAGAATATGTATCCAGCTGTCGTTCAGTGGGCCCATGGACCAGCTCACTTATCTAAGCACCTCATGAATTCTTTGATTGATAAATATTTTGAAACACCCGGAATCACCAATATTTTGAAGAACCCGGAATTAACCTTGACATGAAATTACTGCAGATCCTGCACCATCTGCGCCAGATGTAATCCAGGGAAAATAATCAAGGCTGCACCAAACCATTTGGCAAAACCACAGTACCCTTTCCAAAGGATCCAAAATGATCATATCCAAATGCCAAAGAGTGGCCGGTATGAATACGCACTGGTCATAGTGGATATGTTTTCAGGATGGCCAGAAGCTTTTCCGATCGCTAATCTCACTGCAAAGACCACAGCAAAGCGCCTACTTACCGAAATCATCTGCAGATACAGAGTTCCCAAAGTAATTGAAAGTGACCAGGGTGCATCCTTCACACCGTTGCTAACCACCGTTTGCTAACCAAATCTGGGCAGCACTGGGGGTGACCCTTGCATTCCACACACCCTATCACCCACAGAGTAGTGGTAAGGTACAACGCATGAATGGCACTCTGAAAGCCAGAATGCTTAAAATGTCCCAAGAGACTAACCTACCCTGGCTGGAGAGTCTTCCCATAGCACTGTTTAGTGTACGGTACACGCCAAGAGGGAAGTTTAGCTTATCCCCCTATGAAATCTTATTTGGGACAGCACCCAGGTTAGGCTGTTACTTTCCTCAGCAACTTCAACTTCAGTCAGATGTATTGGTAGATTATATAACTGCACTCTCTCATGCCTTGACCAAAATCCATGCACAGGTGTTTTCTTCTATTCCAGATCCAGAGTCAAATACAGGTAGGCATAAGTTACTTCCTGGTGACTGGGTCATGGTCAAGAAGTTCCTAAGAAAACACACTCTTGAGCCAAGGTTCGATGGTCCATTCCAAGTCCTGTTGACTACATCTACCTCTGTAAAGTTGGCCGGGAAGAATACCTGGATACACGCCTCGCACTGCAAGAAAGTTCCTGATCCAGAGGAAGCAGATTCCACCAAATCATGAGCTTCCTGTGCCTATTTCTGCTGCTAGGCCTATTAAAGGCCCAACAAGTTGCTATTACCAAAGACAATCATGTTTACACATTTTGGTATAATTCTTCAAACACACACGTAGCTACTTTTACCTTTGATTACTGTGATATTGTTTCTTGTACTTTTCCACAATCACAACACTCAGCAATATACAAAGACATACCAAATAAAAAGGACCCATATATTTGTGTGACAGGTGACCGTTGGGGACATCACTGTAGTACCTGGAAAGCGGTGGGTTGGAATACGGGCCGACCATGGGGCTACAGACCACAAAGTGACTTAGATAGAGTTGACAGATATGGGAAACCCTTGTTATACAGAATGACCTTGTGCAAGCCAACAGGGTCTACCCCAATGAAGCTAACCTTAAACATAGAACATCCCAGCCCAGGAGACGCTGGGGAATACGTAATGGGAATGTATTGGAAAGGCTCATATAACAAGTTGGGGACCTTCTATTTACAAGAAATGCTTACATCACCTGACTGGGTAGACTCCACACATGACCATTAACCCTCTAAAACAGGGGGTTCTCAACCCAGTCCTCAGGACCCCCTACCAGTCCAGGATTTGGGGATTACCTGGGTGTGTCTCAGGTGTTTAGAAAAAGGGAAAAAAACACCTTAGACTCTAAGGTGTTTTTTTTTTCTTTTTCTAAACACCTGAAACACACCCAGGTAATCCCTAAACCCTGGACTGGTAGGGGGTCCTGAGGACTAACGTTGAGAACCCCTGCTCTAAAACCACACATTAAAACCTTTAAAGACATAACAAGGGTTTCCCATATGTGCCAATCCCACATTTGAAGACACTATGGCTGTGGAGACCGGGTTTTCAGATACTAATCTATGGCTTGAATGGATGGGGTATAATGCTAATTCACACAACAAAACTAACTGTTATGTTTGTGGTGGGGCCAGACCCCATCTGGGTACAGTGCCTTTAAATCTACCCCCAGATGTTGAGATGTGTTTTTTAAGCCTCTATGCGCAGACAGCAGTGAACTCATCAGTGTGTGAGTCATGGAAAAAGGTTTACCCAATAACTCAAGGGAATACCAAGCCACCTGATGGAATCACCGTGTACCCAGGTAACTACACTTGCTATACAATACATGGAGCCACAGGTAAATTTGTAGGTAAATTCCCTTCTAGCTACTGTACCACTTATCGAGAACCTCACACTGCCCTATTAGTAAATCAAGTTAAGTCCGTGGGAGACATTTATTGGCTATGTGGTGACATGCAACTTAGATAAAAAAATAACTGGCCTGTGGTGGGGAGAATGTGCTCTGACCAAAGTTATCATGCCCATACATATAATTTCTTATAACCACCAAGGCCCACACGATTCACCACATACATCGAGGTAGTTTCGACCCACACATATATATTGATGCCATTGGGGTACCAAGGGGGGTACCAAATGAGTTCAAGGTCAGAGATGAGGTGGCGGCAGGATTCAAATCCTTGATCCCACTCATCACCGCTAAGAAGAATGTTAACTGGATCAATTATATCTACTATAACCAGCAACGATTTGTCAATTACACTAGAGATGCCCTCCAGGGCTTGGCAGAACAATTACAGACTACCTCCCAAATGACTACCTCCCATTTCAGAATCGAATGGCCTTAGACATGATCCTAGTAGAAAAGGAGGGCGTGTGTAAAATACTCCCTGATACTATGACATGCTGTACTTTCATCCCAGACAATACAGGCCCTAACGGTAAGGTAACCATGGCTATAGAGAAATTGGAAAGTCTTTCTCATGAATTAAAGAGGAATTCTGGAGTCCCCAATTTATGGGACAGATGGTTTGGATGGATGAGTGGATGGGAGAAAACTCTCCTTCAAGTAGGTATGGCAGTTCTTACTGTGGTAATTCTCTTTCTCTTCCTGGTTTCCTGTGTGATGCCCTGTGTGCAGAAATATTTACAGAAGACTGTAGGTCAGACTATTGACCACACTACACCTACATTCCTACATCAGGATATCGACGATATGGACTGCGACACCTCAAACACACCCCTTCAGTCTCACCACCTCAAACAGACAACTACTTCCATATAGGAATAGTATCGGGACTCTCTACGGGTAGGAGTCTGACGCAGGAGATGTAGTGGGTTAGCCGCTGCGGGATATCTGCGCAGTGAAGCGTTCGAGGCCTGTTCAGACAGATGAGCTGCAGCCAATTAGGGACATCATTAGGGTCAGTTAGTAGTTGTCTCTTTCTTTCTCTCTCTCTCTCTTTCGTAAATAGTCATTTTAAGGGGGGACTGGACAAAAATATTAACCCAATCCATGTTAGTAAAATGCCTATTTACTCAACATAACTATAATCAGCATTATTCAACTTTCTATGTGATTTACCTAAAATGGCCGCTAGGGAGTTTCCCCTTTAACATCGACTAACACCCTCTTTAACAAGATGGCGCTGGAATCTGGGGGAGACCTCCAAGATACCAGTGACATCACACCCGGTAGGAAGGGCACTAAATGAACCACTTAACACCTAACCAATTATTGATGTATTATTCCATGTTATCTCTGACAATGCATATGATGTAATTTTGCTTTATAAGGGACATGCCGTCCCCCCAGAATAAACATTCCTCAAGTTTTTCATTAACCCGAAACCTGTGTCTGGTGTGAATTACTTTAGGAGTGTGCACGCATTACTTCTTTAATTTGGCCGGGGGCAGATACGCAAGATAATCAATTTATTGATTGATTCCACATCAGATTTGCACTGTTATTTTAGTCAACTAGCTTTGGTAAGTAGGTGGCCTAAAATTAAGTGATTCTATAATTGTCCAGTAACAGACGGAGATTGATTTTTGGAGATTGGGAACATTCTTAATTAAATTTGTTAAAGATGGGTCAAGATGTAATGAGGTCAGATAGTGTCTTGATTATAGATTTTTACAAAAATCTCTTTGCAGGAGTTGAAATTTAATTTGAAGGGTTGAAAAGGATAGAATGTGACCCTTGTCCAAAATATGTTTGATAGAATGAACGAATTCAAATGGTGTAATCTCAAATATGAATATCCAGTTTAGGGATTATTCTTTGGAGGGTTAAACAATGAGCAACAGGGTCCTTAACAAAATATCCAACCAAATCTTAAAACTATGTGCCATTGTGGCTAGTACTATGGAAGATGGAGGAGATATAATAGATGCCCAAATAAGTGAGAGACCTTCTGTGGTTCCATATGGGAGTCCTCTATAATGACAAAAAACAGGGAGCCCAGTTTGAAACAAAACAGGAGGAACTGTGCAATTTATGTAGTCTTAAAACAGAGACATAAATAAGGCACTCCTAAACCTCCATCCTTATGAAATCTATGGTAGCCATCACAACCCTCCTGTGTTTATAATTATATATACATTTATTTAGGTGAAATTGAATGCCTTTCATTTAAAGTAATGGAAAAGGGGCATTGTTCAGAAAAAATACGTACATTTGCCAAATGCAGCGATTTTAACCAAGGTATTAAGCGCCAGTCATGAATCAAAATAATGTCTTTACCACTCCAATTCTATCCGCACAATTCCCCAAACATGTGGGTCTTGTATGCATCTTCAAGAAATTATACTTTTTCTGGCACATCATGTAGCCCACCTTTATTCTGAAGAAATTAAATTTTATGGGATTGCGGTTACCTAGGGATGGAACATTGATGGCATTGGAAGGTTTTTCTATTGGAATCATCCACGGTGTCAAGGTCAACATTATCTAAACTATGCAAAGCTCAACCAATACTTATGTACATATAATTTCCACAATGTACATGTAAATATATACATGTGAGTGGGTTTGTTGGCTCATGTACTTATATAAGTGAAATAGAACACATCTATATTCAGTAAGAAATATTACTTTTACTGAGTTTATATATCCCGTTAAAGTAAACAAACGCAGTAATATAAATTACTGAGCTATTCCGGTGTCCCAAAGTCACCTGCAATGCTAGTTTACTATTAATATTCTACAAAGACCTTCACTATCAGTATGCGGTTGAACAGTGACTGAGCTCAATAATGGTAGTTTATTAACAGAACAAATAGTTGCTATTCACATCTGTGCAAGGTTTCAATAATTCCATTAAATTACAAGTCTCTTCTTGCATAGAGAAACAATGTGTCTCTGTCAAGGCGTGTAATGGACAAACTGAATGCAGTCTCACGGCATGTAATTAATTAAATGTGATTGGAATCAATACAGCTAAACTGCATTATTTAATCAACATGTAGGAATGGTGAAAGGCCTCACCTGCAGCAATACCAGTGACAGGTACTTTGTATAAAGGGAGCCTTAAACGTTGGCAAAACGTAGTGGAAGTATGTTTACTATATCATACTTTCATACTAAGGGAACCTACTGGACATATGGGCACCTGGAAAAAAATGATGGCCACTAGTACTTGCATTCAATATTTTTTATTTCAGTTTTAAACAGTTGTTACCATAGCAGAGAAACAATTGTCCTCCATCAGAAAACAGTAAATCCTCAGCTATAACAGAATTACATCTACCATGATGTTTTGTTAGCCTTAAGACTGGCATAGCATCATGGGAGATGAAGTTTGACAACAGCTGGACATCTACATTTTGGTCATGCCTGTATAATGTGTTTCAGCTTTTTGAGGCATATTTAGTAGCATATTCTATCCTTCTATGCATTACTGGAGATAAGGCTAAGCCTTCTTTTTAATTTAGCTTTTAAAAAAAAAGTGAGCCAGCAATTTCGATTTCAATTTTAGCTAAAGTGACAAAACTGTTTTGAACATTGTGATACTGTAAAAAAATGTTCAACATAAAATATAAAATCAAATGAAACTTTAATACACACAGATGTATTTATTACTGAAAGGACCACTAAAGTGCCAGGAAAACAAACTCGTTTTCCTGGCATTATAGTGTTAATAGGTCCCCCCCCACCTTCATGTCCCCCCTCCCGCCGGGCTCTAGGGGGAGGAAGGGGTTAAAGGCTTACCTTTCTCCAAAGCCAGGCTCCCTCGGCGCTGGGGATTTTCCTCCCTCTTCTGACGAATGCACATCCGCGTGCGCATTTAATCAGTCCATAGGCAAGCATTTCTCAATGCTTTCCTATGGACGCAAGCGTCTTCTCACTGTGAAAATCACAGTGAGAAGCGCTAGAGGCTGTTTTAACCCTATTGTAAACATAGCAGTTTCTTTTTTACAGCTGCAGGGTTAACCCTAGATGGACCTGGCACCCAGACCACTTCATTGAGCTGAAGTGGTCTGGGTGCCTATAGTGGTCCTTTAACATATGTATCAATTACTGAAATGTTTGACAAAACACCCAATTTACTCTAAATGACTGGATTCCCAATATGTCTCAGTATACAAATTCAATATAAAGTAATTATCTTAATTACTTGTTTGTAACAGCATATTAAAAACTATTTCTTAAAAGTAAAAAAAAAACATATATATGTTTGTTAAGATTTCAACCTTTTCTGATAATTCTATATGTTTCGCCACTGTCCTCAAACAAATATGAACATGCACTGCCTTATGTCTAAATTATTTTTAGGTCTTGATTTTTGTCTAAGTTCTAAAATATATAGTTCCCTAAGGTCCTATAAATGTATGTGAAACAAAAAATTAATTAACTCATATTTACTGTTTAACACTAGGTTTTCACTCTTACATCTTGTTCTGTGTAAGAATCACATCTGTCAGAGTTACTTACTAAAGTAACAATTGCTGGGAATTTAAAACCAAAATTGCCAAATGGAAAACAGAATTGGCTTGGGACAATGTTTCTACTTTAGTGATTTTATCCAAATTTTTGGAATTCCTAGCAATTCTTACTTCAGGTAATAAGCCTGACTATCTCTATATCTTGACAAAGGACATACCCTTGCACAGACTTGCACAGAAAATCCTCTGGGGTTACTTAAGGGAAATTTCAAGAATTTTTTAACCATGCATGAAACTTTCTGAAAATATAAAAAATTCACTCTGAAGATATCACGTGGGATTGGTGAAGTTTATAGAAAGTTTCTATAGGTAAATGTAACAAGAAAACAAATCAAAGTTTGGATGTGTCTTTAACTTGATGACTGCAGCAGCTCAGTATAACAGGGTGATCGTTTATGTTTGTTCTTTTAGCTTTTTAATATACTCATAGCACCAAAGATGCATTCATATCGACATCATGTTCTTTTCAGCTTTGCCCTAAGATGCTTCTACTTATATTTGATTTAGTTCTGCTTGAATGTACGCTCAAAAGTAATAAAAAAGGATATGCTAATCATTTATCATTTTACTCCCAAAGTGAATGTTTAATCCTTAATTTATCTTTTTTGCTACGTTAAGCATAGTGCTTAAATGATTTAGTAAATGCATTTTTAAATATGATCTATAGGGATTTTGCACCATTTTATTATTAATATTCTGTCCATGTACAATACACTGCTTACCCTTATGGGCCTTCTTCTTGAAGATTTATTAAGACACAGTTGAAATGTTAAACAGGGGCTGTTCCCGTGCAGTTCTGATGCTGCTACATGCTTCCAATCTTTTTTTGTGCACCCATCTTTTAGCCATAGATGTAGTTCTCCAAAGAGCACATGTTGAAGTTCCATATTAAAGGGACACTATAGTCACCAGAACAACTACAGCTTATTGAATTTGTTCTGGTGAGTAGAATCATTACCTTAAGGCTTTTTACTGTAAACACTGTCTTTTCAGAGAAAATGCAGTGTTTACATTACAACCTAGTGATAACTTCACTGGCCACTCCTCAGATGGCTGTTAGAGATCCTTCCTGGGCCATGGCTACCTAAAATGCATCCAAACATTCAGTATCTCCTCCCTCTGCATGCAGACACTGAACTTTCCTCATAGAGATTCATTGATTCAATTCATCTC